CTTGACCTTCAGCGTTGCCCGCACGCCACGCCGCTGAAGGGGGCCAAAGACCAGGAGCAGACGAGGCAGTAACTGCGCCCGACCTCCGGCTCCTCAGCGGGCTTCACAAGCCAAGCCGGCTCCAATGGCGCCTCCAGCACCCCTATTTTTTTTTTTCTGAGACAGAGTCTCACTTTGTTGCCCAGGCTAGAGTGAGTGCTGTGATGTCAGTTTAGCTCACAGCAACCTCAAACTCCTGGGCTCAAGCGATCCTTCCTGCTCAGCCCTCCAAGTAGCTGGGACTACAGGCATGCGCCACCATGCCCGGCTAATTTTTTCTATATATTTTTAGTTGGCCAGCCAATCTTTCTATTTTAGTAGAGACAAGGTCTCGCTCTTAGCTGTTTTTAAACTCCTGACGTTTAGCGATCCTCCCGCCTCGGCCTCCCAGAGTGCTAGGATTACAGGCGTGAGCCACTGCACCTGGCCACAGCATCACTTTTGTCTTAAACTTTTATTTGATTTTGTGAGTCCCTGTTTCCCCTTTGGACCATACCTCCAAAGCCAAAGTCCACTGCAAGTCCAGGTAAGCCTGCAGCAAAGGGAAAGGTGATTACAGTGGAAATGAAAGTAGAATAATTAAGCATTCGGAGAAAGGCCAGGCCATCACTCATTGGGAAGGCATTAGGCTTCAGTCGCTCAACTGTCGGAAACAATTATAAATGATTGGGTGAGAATATTGGAACACGTGAAATGTGCAGTTCCAATGAAAGCATCAAATATTACTAAGCTGCATAGTGGATTAATTACTGGAACAGAAAGGTTGTTGATTTAGCTAGAAGATCAAAATAGAGCAACATTTCCTATTAGCCTAGGAATTAAAAGAAAGCACAGTAGTTTCTGTACTTATTATTACAGTACAGGGGTATTATTATTATTCTAGTATTGCACTTATTACCACATGAGCCATTATAGTATTGTGATTATTATCATATATGCACTGTTCATCAGGGATCCAAGTTACACACAAATCCAACTAAAGATGTTCT